CGCCGGGAGCTGAAGAGAATGCAGGAGACGAAACGAACGGACTTCAGCCGAAGAGGCACCCCGTTCGGATTCAGTGTCCACTGCGAAAAACATTTCAGCTATCGCGTGACCTTTCATATACCCGTCGTGCGTGTCAAAAATTTGCGTGGCGTGGCGTGGCGAGGCGGGCGGCGGAGGAGGAGCGCGCGTGGATGTCCCTCTTGTTCTCATGCTCATACAAGTGGGGAAAGAGCCTCCCTTATAAAGAGGTCCAACTCCTTCTAAACTAGCAATGTGGGACTAAACTTTAGTTCCAGCTCTTGCCTTGCACGAATGGGCTGCGTGGGCCTTTAGGATTTATTAGGAATTTCTGAAACTACTATTGGATTGGCCCATAATAGACAAAATTCCAGCAATATGGAGGTTTATCTCCAGAGGATCTCTCAGGATTCCATTGGCAGTTGTCTTCGTGGATACACGTGGATCTTGTATTCGTTCGTCTGTGTTCATGTGTCTACAGGTTGGATCCTTCCGGTCTATACTTCTTTTCATTGGCAACGGTTGTTGTTCTGGTGCGCTGGTCCTATGGGATCTTAGCACCACGACTTTTCGACTGTCTACTACCACAAGCCTGACTCTGATGAGAGAGGGGCGAAGACAGCGACGCGCCTTCGGCTTCCTCCCATGCTTGCAGTCGTCGGACATGGATGTATTATTTTACTTATGGTGTTCTTTGTACTATCTTGACAGTGGATGATGGAGATGTTCAGAATACATTGGAAGTTTTTCTCGCTTTTTTTGGAGTAGATAGAAATAGGACATCGATAAGTGCCGAACGTTCGGCCTGGGAGAACCCTAGACCGAACGACTCGTTCATCACGGGAAAGCCTATCGATCGAATGAATACGTTCGGGACGAGAAGCCCCCAACACGAACACCATCGATCCCAGGTCCTACAAGCTTCTTTTTTCATCGAATCCCCTATCGAGCCTCCACCTGGGCCAAAAAAATGCCCAATTTTCCTATGACGACTCTAACAACATATAGAAAACTGACATTTTGGATCTCATTTTCAATAGCCAAACAAAAACCCAACAAAATTGACATAGCATACAAAAAAGGGGAAATTGCCGTGATGGGCTATAAAAATGCCAGCGTATAAATCAGAAGTTGAAAACATTAAGTGGAAATTGCTATGATTGTCATTTGAGTAAAAAATTGGCAAATGATAAGACAAATTTTTTTTGCCATGGTACTTCAATTAATCTTGCCATGATCCATAAGCTAATTTTGCCATTGTCAATATAGTAACTTTGCAAAATTTTAGAGAAAATAAAAAATGCATTTGAAGAAAAATGGTGGCAAACTATTTGAAGGATGGCAAGTTTGCCATGTTTTAGAAACTTTATGAATTTGCCATGTTTTTGTGATCATTTGTCATGGCAATTTTGGAGAGGTCTAAAAATATGGCAAATTTAGACATGGGCTTTAGTTAAACTTGACATGTCAAATATTTAAAGAAAATTGTCATTTACATAAGAAAAAGTGGCAAATGATAAGAGAAAAAAGAATTTTGCCATGGTACTTGTATTAATCTTGCCGTGATCCATAAACTAATTTTTCATGATTTCATCCGTTGCAATCTCCTCCCATCCCGAACAACCTCTCCAGCTCGCCTTCAGCGGACCAACCCAAATGGCTCCGACGAACCAGCCCAAAAAGCCAATGAATTGGAGAATTAGAAAAACAAATAATTACATTTTTTGTAGGCCCAAAAACTGCTAGTGCCTCTCCCAAAAAATTGAGAGAAACAAAAAAAGGCCTAAAAATGCACCGAACCCAGAAAACTCTCCTTGAAACAAATCTAGAAAATCCATAGTAGGCGACAAAAAGTTGCCATGCTCTAATGAACAAAGCAACCATATAATCATGAAAAAAGTTATATTGCAGAAATTTATATGATTTGCCATGATTTTCATACACATTTCATTACAATTGAGTGTGGAAAAAGCTTGCATAATATTATGAAAACACAAAAAATGGACATATCGGATAGAACAAAAAAGATTTCTACAAAAGTTGCTATTGGGCATGTATTAAAAAATCTGAACAATGACATATCAATGGATCAAAATTTCTTAACTTTGCCATCTTTCAACACACAAATGTAAAAAGCATAAAAATTTCACATGGCAATTTAAACTAAAATTTTCCATGACAAAAATGGAGTAAATTTTTTCATGGAAAAACAAATGGAGTAAATTTTGCCATGGCAAAAATGGATTAAATTTTGCCATGGAAAAAAAATTAAAGCTTGCCATGGGAACACAAGTATATTTACCATGTTGCATAGTAAAAATTTGCCATTTTCCGGAAAATGTAAATTTGCCATCATATTTAAATTAAAATTGCCATGGCAAAAATAAAGTAAAATGTGCCATGTCATTAAAAGTATGCCATGGCAAAAAAAAGAGGTAAATTTTTCCATCGCAAAAAATGGTGTGATTTTGCCATGGAAATAAATTAAAAATAGCCATGGTACACAAGTATATTTTCCATGCTACATATTAAAATTGTCATGTTCTGGAAATGTAAATTTGCCATCATATTTATATTAAAACTACCATGCTATATACAACAAATTTGCCATGACAAAAAATTTAAGTAAAATTTGACATGTCATTAAAAGAATAGTTGCCATGGCAACGTTTTGAACATGGCAAAGTTGCCGTGGCAAGTTTGTCATGTTTTCAGTTAAAAAAGTGCCATGGCAAATCACATGAATGTTGTCATATAGAGCAATGTTTGCCATGTTTCTAAACATGGCAAAGTTGCCATGGTGCCATGTTTTCAGAAGAAAAAAAGTGCCATGTTTTGAACATAGCATAGTTGTCAAGTTAGAAGATCAAAGTTGCCATGTTCTCAAACAAAAATGTAATTGCCATGGCAACACTCTTCAGATAGATAGGGCAAAAAAGACTCAACACAAATGTTGTCGTCATGGAAACCTAAGCTTCAAGTTGCCATGGCACACACCTAAAAAGCTTCTAGTTAAGAAAAAACATGGTACTAAATTAACAAAACAAACATGGCAGCATAAGCTTCTAGTTTCCATGCCAGATTTGTATTAACTTTTGACATGGTATTCCAATTAAAAATGCCATGATTTTGAATGAGAAAATTACCGAGTATGTAAATTAACACAATAATTATGAACAAAATTGCCATGGCAAATGGATATGTAAATTTGCCATGGTGTATTAATTGAAAATGCCATCCTTTGTATGAAATTTGCCATGGTGTATGGAAATTCGTATCAAATTCATTTCAATAATTTCCATGGCAACTATTTACTAAAACCAAAAAATGGTAGGTAATGAAAAATTGTAAATTTGCCCTGTCAATTGATGAAAGTTTGCCATGGCAAATGGTCTTACTAAAATGAAAGGGTAGGCATTAGAGATTCAAAAATTGCCATGTTTTATGAAACATAGATATGCTTCTTCAATTATTTGCCAACCCTTGTTAATCTACAAGTGCCCACATTGTGGAACTTATGACTATGATAGGGGCTAGTGATATGGCAATTTTTAGTGAAAAATGATCTATGTGTCATGGCAAAAAGCATTAAAAAACATGACAAATATGTGTATAAAAAATAGAAAATGTCATGATGCATAGACAAAATACTTGTTGTGATATTGAGTAAACACAACATGGGGCACACTGGTGTAGCTTCAGTCAGAGTCTGATCTGATTAGGTAACAGACACAACCATTTGTTTTGAACCATAGCAATTGGTACCTTTCCCTAACATCGGAGCTGAGCGCGAGCCCCACGAACTCGAATTCCTTGCCGCTGAAGATTCAGTACTGGAGGCAAACCGTCGATGCAGCACTTAGAGGAGAAGCCTCAGATATGGTCGGTGAAGCGCGTTTCTCTCCACAGGTTAATATCTACCAGATTCCAGCAAGCGAATCACATAAGCTACACTAGGGAATGTTGGAAGCTCAAAAAAATGCAATGAGGAAATGGGGGTTGTACCTCGAGCAGCAGTACACCATCTTCGCGCCCGTGGTGGTTGGGCAGCGCCGGCGAGCCAAGGACCCCCCCACTCTTCGCTCCGATGACGCAAGCGGTAGGCGGCAGTGGAGTTGAGGAGGAGGGCGACCGGCGGGTGGCTGGAGACATGGAGGTGCAGGGGCCAGTGGTGGCTCCATGCCCGTCGGAACTGGCCTGAGATGCAGAACAACCAGGTGCGGATGAGCAGCCGTGGAGCTTCCCGGCGACGCATGCTCACGGGCGGCCTCTGTCGGCCGCCGCTCTCCCCGCCGCGCTGCAGCCTGGTGCATGCCGGCCGCCGCCATCCTGCTGGGCCGCATCCTGGTGCCCGCCGGCCGCCGCCCTCCCCGCGGCCTAGACACCGCACTCGCGCCATCCCCCACATCGCCGGCCAGCAGCTTCCGCCATCCTGTTGGGTCAACAACCTGGTGCTCGCTGGCAACCGCCCTCCCCGCAGCCTAGCTACGGCAGTCACGCCATCGCCGCATCGCCGGACGCCAGCCGCTAAATCACAGTGGAGAGTGGTGGGGTGGGGTGGGGGGAATGGGAGTGGATAAAAAAATCGTTCGGGAGCCTCCGTCTTAGACCCGAACGTATCATGATGATGACGTGGCGATGTGGGCTCGTTAAGATTCGTGCGACGGCGACGAAGGCGTTCAGGACGAGGAGCTAGAATCCTGACGTTCGGGAGTTATTGATTCCGTAGAAATAAGCCACACGAAAGAAACATTACTCACTAAAAGAAAGACAAAAAAAATTGGTATTAAAAATAATAGATCGACGCCTGAGAGATTCGAACTCTCGCGGGGAAACCCCATGTACTTAGCAGGCACACGCCTTAACCACTCGGCCAAAGCGTCTTTGTTGGCAGCGATACAACTTTCTATCTTTTAAGTCAGAACCTCTAACCCTGATTCGTTCCCCGGAACCCCCACCAGCCAGGACACAGCAATCAGAGCATGGACAGCGGCGGCGTGCGGCCATCGCTTCCGTCCGCGGCGGCGGCGGCGGGAGGAGCCTCCTGCCCGGACGAGCCTCGCGACGCGCGCGTGGTGCGGGAGCTCCTCCGGTCGATGGGGCTCGGCGAGGGCGAGTACGAGCCGCGCGTCGTGCACCAGTTCCTGGACCTGGCCTACCGCTACGTCGGGGACGTGCTCGGCGACGCCCAGGTCTACGCCGACCACGCAGCCAAGCCCCAGCTCGACGCCGACGACGTCCGCCTCTCCATCCAGGCCAAGGTCAACTTCTCCTTCTCCCAGCCGCCGCCACGCGAGGTAAGAGTACTACCAATCTCTCACCAAAAAATCTGATATGTCCTCGTTAGATTCCGAAATTTACTAGGTTTCGTAGCTTCATTCAATTGGTGAATGACGAGGACAAGGGGTCACTTTAAACTCTAGATCGAGGACCGGCTTTCCTGTGAACCTATCAGATTCGGAGGGAGTAATGTTGTGGACTCCAATTGGGGACATGACAAGCACTGTAGAGGATGTGCAGATGTGTCGCGGAAGAAACAATCTAGATGCTGCCTCTACCGGTTATACAGGGGCTAATACGTATTTCGAGATTTTTAAGCTGACCATCAATAGGATCAATATATATATATATATGAGATGTATGCTATAAAAATTATACCATTAGGAACTCCTTTCAAATACGAATTCGATAGTATACTTTTTGTAACACACACGTCATATACTATTGGTCTAAATGATGGTCAAAATAAAACTTGAAATACACATTAGTCCTTATATATTCGGATGGAGGGAGTACGGAAAATGATGTGTGCTTTTGAGATTTCAGTTAATTTCTGTTTCTTGGCTGAGAGATATTTTTTGGGGAAAATTTGAATTTTAATAAGGCTCAACTTCTCGATTAAATGCGTTCCACAATAAGAACACAACAATCAAAGCTTCAGGCATGGTGGTTACAAGCCACCATCCTCAACGCAACACAGAGATTGTGGTTTTTAGTCCTTGAGCTCATAAAATGTCGGTTTTTCTACACTCGTAGCCGTCCGAGGGACCAACATATCAGACAGTGTCATACTGAAACTATAATGAAAAAAAAGGAGGGAATGTGGGATTTGAACCCAGATTCATCTCAAGTACTCCCTCCATTCCATAATATAAGGGTGTTTTTGACAGTACACTAGTGTCAAAAACGCTCTTATATTATGGGACAGAGGGAGTAGTACATTACCAGTACCACCCTACCACTAGGACCAAGATGACTCTTTATCCTTTAGGAAGTTGGAACTGACAGAACTTTTGCCAGTTTGGTGGGGTAATCAGGGAGCACCGAGATTTAAATCCCAGTGTGCAGCTAGTAGCAGAAACGAACACCTTCTCGATGTAAGGAAAATCCTATTCTTATTTAAAAATCTTATGAAATCCATACGTACTGGTTTATTTTGGATTGTTACTGCTCCCACGATTTTAGCAACCGTCACTTCAATGAACTGGTACGTAAAACTTTTTGTCGAACCTGTACGTACGAATAGCATTGCTCATACAAGTTCAATATACCAATTGGTGGGAAAAGTCAGAGGTGAAGGTAGCAGAACAGAACCCCTTCTCTAAAAGTAAAAAAAGCAAAAGAGCCCTTTCTAACCTCCATCAAGGAAAACCTTCCATATCTGCACACATAATGCAAGGAGAGACCAGTTGGGGCAGAACATTGACTTAAGTTCAGTCCATGACACCATATCTTGTTAGGAATGTTCAGCTGAGCCCATTTCTTGTTTGGAAAGTTGAATGCTTATCTGCTGAAGGGTCTAAAATCTTAGGAATCATGTGCAACTAATAGTTCCATATACACAATTTAACCTTTGAGAACCAAGCAAGAAATAAATACCCTCTTCTGTTAGTGCAGAGATGCTGCTTTGTACCGTAGCAGCCTTCTGTTGCAACTGGAAATAAGAATACTCAGTTTCCTTATTAGTTGGCTTTACTCTTTAGATATATTATGTGTACTCTTGATAACTTCCGTTTTTGGCACTCTTCATGGATGGGTCAAGTCAAATAATCAAGCATCTGTTAGAGCCTCAGATTTGGACACTATTCATGGATGGGTCAAGTCAACTAAGCATAGTACTCCCTCCGTTCCTAAATATAAGTCCTTGTAGCGATTCCACTATCCGTTCCTAAATATAAGGCGACTGATAGGCGCCGGCGCGCCGGTCGAAAGTTTCGGCCGGTCGCGCCCCAGCCACCCGATTGGCCCATCCCGAGCCGTTGGATGCTCGTTCATTTAGGTCGTCTCCTTCCTTCTCATCTCTGTTCGCGTTTCAGATCTCAAGAAACACCGCGGGCCATGGCGGCCGCCCCGTCATCGCCACGTCGCGCAGCGCAGCGCCCGGCTGCCTCTCCCCCGTTTGTCGCCGTCGACAGCCGCTGCCGTGCTCGCCGCCACCGCTCGCCGACGACAGCCGCCCATGTTTCATTGATAAATGCAGCTCGCCTGCCGACCGGCTCCAGCGCATGCCACCGTGGTTGCAACATCCCTGAGCCCCCACCACCGCCTCCACTCATCGCCGTCGTTCGGTTCGCACCACCGTGTCCTCAGCAAAAAAGAAGCAAAAACACAAAACTCCATTAGTTTGTCAGTAGTAGCAAAATCACATGCTGGTTGCAGCAAAAAAAAACATCAAATCCAACAAAAAAACCTAAAGTTGCGCCGGCCGCTTCAAAATTTTCATCTATCATCCCAGCAAAAATTCTTATGGGTTCCAGCAAATTTTTTGCTGGTTCCAGCAAAACACATCTCGACGCCGTCTCATTGCATCACCGATGGATAGCGGATGCAACTTTTTCTCCGCCCGGTTCCAGCAAAAAAATTGTATGGTAGTAGCACCGTACCCCATCGTCTTTACCCCGGCAGCTGCCTGGTTGCAGCAAAAAAGAAGATGGTTCCAGCATCTCCAGGATCTGGTTCCAGCAAAAAAACTCTCTGGTAGTAGCACCGTACCTCGTCGTCTTCACCACCGGTGGCTGCTGATTCCAGCAAAAAATGGATGATGGTTCCAACTCCAGAGAACACTGCTTCCAACATATCGTCAGGAAAACGAAAAACGGAAGCCAGCCATGGCTACTAGCGCGTCCGGCTGCGACGGCCATGGAGAAGAGCGCTCGAAGCCAGCCATGGCATTCACTTCGCAGTTGCCGCAAGGTTGCTTGGAGCGACCAGGGCGCGTCGACGGCGAGCTTTTTGGTGCCCCTCCTGGTCGTATTTTGCTGCAGGGAAGCAGAAGGGGATGAGCAGTGGAGGAGATGGAAGGCAAGAGAAGAAACATGGTGCGGCGAGGGGCATGGCAGAAGATAGGGGATGGAGTGCAAAAGGATAAGATAAGGAAGGGGCGGTCCTCGCGGGTCCACCAAAATACACACGTCTCGCGCGGGGAAGGCTTCGCATGGGCGCACGACGCCAGCGTGGCATGTGACCGGCGGAAGATTCGTACGGTGTGCCGTTTTTAAACGTTTCCCTAAATATAAGTCTTTGTAGAGATTCCACTATGGACTACATACAAAGCACAATGAGTGAATCTACACTCTAAAATGCATCTATATACATCCGTATGTGGTCCATAATGAAATCTCTACAAAGACTTATATTTAGGAACGGAGGGAGTAGAAAACAATGTTTTGGAATGCATGGCTGGACTTGTATAGAAACACGAAATGAACAGGGTACGATTCTCAATGTGTATGACTCTGGCATCTGAAGATATACCTAAAATGTTGATGAATCATATTATTAGGTAGTACAAAGATACTAGAGATTGAGGGTCACTCACAAGTGTACTCACTAGCGGGTTAGCCGGTAAGTGAAACTAAACAAGATCTTGCATACATAAAGGCTATGAACAACCCTTGTGGCTATGCTTTGAAGTCAAGTGCTTGTTTTATGAAACTCTAGCTGACACAAAGTACTCTGTATGCATATGTGGTTGATGAGTTATTTTGTTGATGTCACAGGTTCTGCTTGAGTTGGCACGCAGCCGGAACAAGATCCCGCTGCCCAAGTCTATTGCTCCGCCTGGCTCGATTCCTCTGCCACCTGAGCAGGACACTTTGTTGAGTGAAAACTACCAGCTCCTACCCGCACTGAAGCCACCAGCTCAGACTGAAGAGGCAGAAGATGACAACGAGGGAGCCGACGCAATCCCTGCCAATCCTAGTCCAAACTATTCACAGGATCAGAGGGGCAGCGAGCAACATCAGTCTCACAGCCAGAGCCAGAGCCAGAGCCAGAGGGTATCTTTCCAACTGAACGCGGTGGCTGCTGCTGCTGCAAAGCGTCCTCTGGTGACAGTTGATCAGTTGAACATGGGCTAACCGATTGTAGATCGCTGGCAGGCTCCTAGTGCTTGTTCCCGCGAGCCTGCTTGTGTGGCTGCTGTGATCGCCCTTTCAGGCTAGCGCCCTCCTGTTTCACCATGAAAAATGCTGATTGTTGAGGAGAGGGAGCAGCCTTGCAAGTAGTGTATTCTGTAGATGCACACCTCAGGCTAACTAATTCCTGTCCATTATTGCCAACTTATTGATATTGTGGATCTTGTCGAACTTGAATTGTACCGTTGTTGTTTCTGAATGCTAAATCGGTGTTCCTGTTGCGGCTGTGTTCCTATTATGCTTTTGGTGGCATGTAGGAGTAGCACATATTTGGTTGGTTAAAATCAGAACCTAACAATACGTGCACATCCTATACACCTCGATAGAGGGGGTACCAAGTGTACAATAAAGAGATAAAGGTAAATATGTAGTGCCAGATGCATTCCTTCTGTTTCTTTACCAGTGTTTGCTTTTTTGCTTGCGGAGTAGGAAGGACTGGTACCCTCTGTGCGTGGAGCATCAATCAGTTACTGAGAAATCAGAAGAAAAAACAAAAAGCCCGTCTAGCTCAGTTGGTAGAGCGCAAGGCTCTTAACCTTGTGGTCGTGGGTTCGAGCCCCACGGTGGGCGACCGCCTTTTTTTTTTTGTACTCTCCAGGAATCAATTTGTTGCAGTGCATGAATCTGATGGATGGCCACTGTCTAAAACCAAGACGCTCCAATTTATTTGCAGCATCAGCTTGTAATTTGTACGCAGGCACTTACCTTTTGCTCAGGCTGTGTTCGAGTAGTTCACGTCGCCGTATATGATACTTCGGTCTGGTTGACAGGTTGAGGATCAGTTGGGAGGGGCTACTTCGATTGTGCATGTCAGCATGTGCGACCTCTGAGGCGATGGTGCCCTCTGACGGCGTCGGGCGGCGGCCATGACGGCGCTTGGAGACAAAGAGGGAAGGGGCAAACGGCCGTGAGGGCTAGGTGGCGTCACGGCAAGTTGAGATGGCAACGCGGCCTTGACCGGGGAGAACGGGAAAGACAAAACGGGATCCAGTGCGCGCTGGCTGTAATGCCACTTGCGTGGTCACCACCAGTTTGACATGCCAAACGCGCTCTGGGGGTTCTAGAGGCATCTTCTGGATTCCAAAATTTGGTCAAGGAATGGGACAGGTATGCCTCACTGATAACATAGATGAGAGCCAGGAGAGATGGGCCCAGTGGAGAGCATCACTCATTCTTATGAGATTGCCATGGAACAGAAAGGAATAATTTCATTTCATGTATGTACCTTTGCAGAACTTCAATATCACTCAATTGCATTGTGAGACATATACTTTGCTGAAAAAAGAGAGAGAAGCGCATGTCTCCCAATGCAATTTCAGCAGATATTTGGCTTCTTCCTCTCTCACATATCCGATTAAGTTGGATGATGAATTTTACAGACATGTCACAAATTGGCGACGGATACAGACTAGCAGCAGCAACTCCTCAATTGTCATGTCATGCCTTGGTGAGTGATACAACCAGCATAACTCTCGGGTTTCTGGCATGCTTAACTTGTGACCTGCGCTGCAGGCTCAAGTGCTCCTCGCCGGTCCTCACGAATTCGTCCATGATCTCTCCTGGCGATCCAAAATGCTGGACTATTATTGGCTCGAAAGCAGCTCTCAGGCTATTCACCATCCTGTTTGGGGTGAGGAGCGCGCGGTCCATGCCGCTTATAGGGTCGTGCACCCGCATCTCAGAGATTGAAAAGGAGCCCTCTTCTTGGATGATCTCTCTCAGCTCTTCATCCGAAGGTCCATGCACCGGTATGTACAAAGAATCAAGCCTTTCCTTGTCAATCACACCCTGTTAGTTATCCAGAAATGCTCATTAGCAAATGACAACATGGTTAAAAAGTAAAGCTTGTATTTACCTCCGAGGCCATGGCGCCTAAAATCTGAGCTGCAGTTCCCCAGATGAGAGAACTCTCGGTGACGGGCTCATCAGAACGCCTCCCCGGGAGCGAAACAACCATCCGGCCTTCTGGGACCAATTCTTGGCCTCTCAGCTGCAGGAAAAGTGTGAAATCTTTCCTGAATTGCCGTGCATAAGCTCCAGCAACCACTGGGAGTCTTTCACGCCTGACATTCTCATCGATGTCATACGCCGGGATTTGGTTTATCCTTAAATCTTCAGGAGCCTGTGTCTCTGAACGATCAGATAATGAAGGGACGAATGCTGCTGGAGTGGTGTCAAACAAATGCATACCTTTGAGAGCCAATGAAGGCTGTTGGATGAGCAGAAAAGATGCACGGAGCCACTAGGGAAGAGCCTCTCATAGAATGACCCTGGCACTATACCAGTTACAACAAGAGGCTCGCCGATATGCCGGACCGCAACCAGGCTTTTCACCACCGTGTTGAAGTCATTTATGGGAGATCATTGAGGAGTACACAGACTTCCAGATGTGGCTGCCGCAACCGGAGAAAGTGGCTGCGGGTGGCCTCGAGGGCGATGGACACCAGTGCTACCGCGTTTGGGCCACAGGAGCAGCCCAAGTCCGCAATCACCATCTTCCCGTGCGACATGGTGGTGGTGTTGCTGCATAATTCAACGACCGCTGCATCTATCAGTGGCTTCATCCTGTTCTGCTCAGCACTCTGCAGTCGACTTGTACTTCTTCAGAAATCTAGTTTAATCTTTCCCAATATTGTTTTTATTTTTCATTATGGTGTTACTTTAGTTGTTAGTAATATAAGATATACTATGGACAAATTCCTGATGAGACGGTCTTCAGAAGCCAAAGTTTCAGGAGAAGGGACCGTAGAAACAACACTCTTCAGCTAATTAAGAGAGTAGAAATTACCTGAAAACTGGAGTTGTGAGCGTAGCTAGTTTCGCCTTGTCCTTGATTCATATGCACCATCTGTTTGGAAGCCATGGCTTTGCCTGCAGCAGGGCTAACCTCCGGAGACTTGAACCTGAGAGAGCAAGATTAGGAAGGAACTGGTGAAGATGTACCGGAAGTTCAGCTCTTGTTTTGTTTATGCTAGCTGGGGATGGCTCTTCTGGCTGCTCATTGGGTGAAGCAAATGGGTCAACGTGCTTATCAATCCTAGGGCCAGCTCATACACAGGTTTAATGAAAGATTTGGTCAAACCCAAATCAGGATATAATACATTAACAACCTATCACTACCAGAGTTTGTCTTATACTCCCTCTGTCCGAAAAACCTTGTCCCTCAAATGGATGTATCTAGCACCAAGTTAGTGCTAGATACATCCATTTGAGCGACAAGCTTGGGACAAGCTTTTTCGGACGGAGGGAGTACCAGCTACCTGTTATTTTGAGGCCATGGCTCCGCTTGCGCTGGAAGTTCAATTTTTCATTTTCAATGCTCAACGGGGACTGTTCTGGCTGCTTATTGGGGGCAATGAAATGGTTAATGTGCTTCTCAATATGTTATCTATCACTGCTACTAAGGTCAGCAACTTGAAAGGCTAAAGTGTCAAACTGGGGTAAGAGGATATTTGTTTAAACTAGCAGGATTGATATTTGACATAACTAAATTTTGTTGGCTCTTCTAGCTGAGCATAGAATCAGATACTAACTGAATTTCCAGTATACATACTGTATTACTGTAATTTCTAGTACAATATTAGCATTAACACAAGCACCATGAGCTTTACTAAATAAGAACAATAAACTGGAGTGCTCACATATTGTCCTTTGCTTCGGTCAAATGCCTCTGGTGGACTGACCTATTACTGACGGTCTGGCAGTTTTGGCTGATGGTTTTTTTGAACTGCTAGAGATGGCATGTTTTGTACTCCCTCCGTCCCAAAAAAAGTGACTCAACTTTATACTAATTTTAGTACAAAGTTGAGTCACTTATTTTGGGACAGAGGGAGTACTACTGAGGAGTCCTATTGTGTTTTTCAAGTTACCATATGAACAGAAGGGAATTTCCTATACCTCACCAGAACATCAATATCAAAACTCAACTATATTATCAGATAAGGGAAAATACAAACACTTGGCAATGATAACTGAAATTTTCATTTCAGAAGATATTTATCTTTTTCGTCTCTTCAGTTTTACGAACATGTCATGCCATGGTTGAGAGATACAAACTAAGAACTCACACACCAGTAGTCGTGTCATGCCTTGGCGAACGATAAAACCAGCATCACTCTTGGGTTTTTGGCACACACAGCTTGCAAGCTGCACTGCAGGCTCCAGTTCTTCTTTTCGGCCCTTACGAATAAAAAATCATTCATGACCGTGTGCCATTAAAAAAAATGGTTCCCTTAAACATGTGCATATACTATACATCAGAGTGTTGATTACCTTCAAAGCAGGCCATGGGTTTTAGTTTACATAATCAGTGGGCACACAATTGGCCTCAAATAAAGCATCTGTTCACTATCATCAAATGTGATGTACCTTTAGGGACCTGATAATCATGCCTTTGCGAGGGATACAACCAGCATAGCATAAGGACATCTAACACGCTCCTCTTGCAAGCTTCCCTCTAGGATCCACCGCCGCTCCGCAGTCCTCACAAATTCATCCATGGCATCTCCAAAATGTTGGACCAATACCGGCTCAAATAAAGCTCTCAGAAATCCCGCGAACCTGCCTGGGGTGCTGAGAGCATTGTTCATATCGGTTCTAGGGTCATGCGCCCGCATCTCCCTGATTGAAAAGGAGGCCCCTTCTTGGATGATCTCCCTCAGCTCTTCGCTTGAAGGTTCATACAATAGCCCATAAAAGGAATCAAACTTTTCTTTGCCAATCACACCCTGTTAATATAACCATAAGATCAAATATAATGCTCGCACCAGTTCGATCGCAAAAGATACATGCTAGAATAGAATGTAAAGCAGTTTACCTCTGAGACCATGACACATAGAATCTGAGCTACAATTTCTAATATGTAAGAGAATTTGGTGGTCATTGCATCAGAACGCCTCCCTACCAGCGAAACAATCATTCGGCCTCCTGAGACCAACTCTTTGGCTCTCAGCTCCAGAAAAAGCGTGAAATCTTTTCTGTACTGTTTTGCATAAGCCTCAAGTACTATAGGAAGCCTTTCACTCCTCGAATGCTCATCAATGTCATATGCTGGGATGAGATTCCTTGTTAGATCTTCTGGAGCCTGTATGGACAAGATTTTGCTTACAGATTCGATGAGTAATGCAGTGGATTGATCTATCAAGTGGTATCAAACTCACACCTTTGAGAGCCAATGCATGCTATTGGACGAGCAAACAAGATGCAAGGATTCAGTAGTGAAGAGCCGCTCGTAAAACGACCCTGGTGTGATACCGGTCACGACAACAGGATCATTGCTTTGACGGAGCGTGATCCGGCTCTTCACCACTGTGTTGAAGTTGTTCTCGGGGAGATCGTTGAGGACCACACACTTCCGGTGGAAGTTGCTGGAACTGAAGACAATGAGCGTGGATCGCCTCAACAGCGATCGATACAAGTGCAAGTGCGTTTGGACCAGTGGAGCAGCCCAAGTCCGCGATCACCATCTTGCCGGGCTGCAAGGTGCCGGTGCTACTGCATAATTCAACGATGACCGCTTCAATCCAGGGTTTCGTCTTCTTCTGCTCAGCATTCTGCAGTTGACATGTACTTGTTCAGAAAATCTAAATCTATCCCAATTCTTGTCCTTATTTTGCATAATGGTGTCAATTTTAATGCCAGTAATATAAGATATATTATGAACAAATTCTTGGCGAGACAATCTTTGGAAGCCAAGTTTCAAGAGACCGTAGAGACAACAGTACTAAATTAATAGACAAAAGAGAAAATACCTGAATACTAGAGTTGCGAGCATAGCTAGTTTCCCCTTGTCCTTGAATCATAATCTGCGCCATCTTTTTGGAGGCCATGGCTTTGCATGCAGCACGCTCAACCTCCGAAGACCTTGAACCTTAGAGGGCAAGATTAGGAAGGAGATGGTGATGGTACCCTTCAATTCTATCTTTTATATGCTGTTCGGGCTGCTTATTGGGCAGATCGATAGGGTCAACATGCTTATCAATCTCAGGGGCTGCTAATAGGAAGGTTGCATGAAAGATTAGGTCAAATTCACATCAGGATATAATAAATTAACAACCTGTCACTACTAGAGTTTGTTTTAGATCAGCAGATTTGTCATTTTGAGATCATGACTTTGATTGCACAGTGGAAGTTCAATTCTTCTTTTTATATGCTCAATTGGGGATGACTCTTGTGGCTGCTTATTGGAGGCAATTATTAACATAAACGTGTTAATTATAAGGTAGAAAGGTTGAAGGGTCAAATTCAGATAAGAATAGCAACCTGTTACTGCCAGATATGATATTTGTGTAAACCAGCAGAATTATTATTATTTGACATGGTAGAATATGTTGGCTCTTCAAGTTGAGTATGGAAACAGAATAATGATTGAACTTACCCTACATTCTTTTTTTACCGGAATTTCCAGTACATGATTAGCATTAACATGATCACGATGAGCTTTACTGTATGAGAACAATAAATTGGAATGTTCACATATAGTCATGGACCATACGGCAAGTATGGCAGCAGTGTCAGCTATCACCAAGATTGACAATGTAACATTTGTCAGTGAGAAAAGAGAGCTATATTGATTACTAAGAACAAGTGTCACAATCTCAAGCAGTCTTGGCGCTTAGTTTCAGTACTGTTTCTGCTCTTATCCCCCCTCCAAACTCTTGAAGAATCGTTTGTGTGTGTCTAATTCCCAATCTCCTGATCGGATAGATTGGAAATAAATAGCATGTTACAACTGTTTTGCCACACACACACACACACACAAAATGAGTAAGTGCTACAATCTCAAGCAGTCAACTGGCCAACATAACTCAAGCTTTGCAGAAGCCATACATTACAATGCGTTGTACACGTAAAACCTAGTTGAGCAAGTTCATGGACAGCCTCATTTGCTAATGGATATAGATCAAAGGAAACAAATGCAGTGCCTCTTAAACAAAGAAAGAAAGCAGGGACACACCACTTACCTGGTCATCTGATTGACAACTAATTTCAGTGGACACACCCTCCCCGCGAATTTAGTCGGAGCACCCCGCGTGTGGACCACCCAGCTAGTCGCCGCTCTCAAAGCAGTGCCTTGATCACCGTGAAAACTGTAGCCTTAGTTGGCGGTTGTGTTCGGCTCCATGCTGCCATCCATCTATCTTTCTCCCGGAGCAGTGTCGACCACTTGCCCATTCAACTCGGCCGGCTCCCCAAGAGGTCATGATGACATGCAGTAGAACTACTTGCGCACGATGATCTTTCAGGTTTCAGCGTGTCCTGCACAAGCGGCTCCGCCTGTCGGCCGTGTACGGAGCACCTAAGGAGGAGGGTAGGCGGCATTTCGTCGAACTGATGGCGGGCGGTGGAGCGGAGAGTCCAACTTCCAGGCCACCTCTTGCCTTTCTACTTCTTGTTAGCAATCCGACGACTCTAGTAGAGGCAGATTAGCTTCGTCACCTCCAGCGACGGCGCGGGTAGCATAGGTAGGCGACGGCGCCGCCACGTTCTTTGACCACCTGCACGCGTGTAGTGGAAATCCCGTCAGTATCCGCGGCGCATGGGGCGAGAGGAGGATGGGTTTTACCGAACCGAACCTGCTGGAAGAGTGGGCGACGTCGACGCCCTGCGCTATGACGACGAGGAGGCACTTGAGCGCGTCGGCGTCGAAGAGGCGAGTCGAGGAGCGCCGGGATGGCGGCTGCGTCGTCGTAGAGGCGCGGGTCCGTGGCCGTCCGCCCCGCAACCTTTTTTTCCAACCGGGCTCACACCTCTTTCCATTAATTTTGCAATCAACGGAAATACATCAGTCTGTTTCAATCAAGTCTGTTTAAGCACCAGGACGACCACTGAATTAGAGGAGACTACACCGAAAGATACGACTGACTGCAAAAGCTAAATGAGACTGAAAAGGGGGGGAGCGAGCTGGTGCATCATCAGGAAACCCACCGCATGATGATCCTCGAGCGGATCATCCGCCATGGGGCGAAAACCTGGTGACACAAACAAGCCACTACCCATCTAAGGATAACTGTTCCCAGGCAGAAACTACCAGTATACCTCGACGACTATCCAAAATAAGACTAGGAGACAAAGATCCAGCGGGCATCAAACCCCAGTGGATAATATGACTAAAAAAGAGACCCAAGCAGCGATCCCAGTTAACCAATCTGGATCCCATCCCTGTCACCCAAGAGAAGCCTGTCGTGAGCGAAGGGTCTGTCGTGAGCGAAGGGTCTGTCCGCCAGTGCAGCAGCCACATGCGCCAATCTCTTCACGCCAGCTTGGAATTTCGCCTTGTCTTCAGCTTTGAGTAAACCTGCCCAGTACAACATAAACAAGCAGGCAGTGAAAACAGCCTCCAAGAGAGTACGAGCCATATATTTATCAAAGGTAACTTTATTGCGGAGACACCAAATTCCCCAACATATGGCAGCAGTAATCATCATATAGAATTGATCCCCTCCTGGAAGGAACCTATAGAACCAGACAAAGCTTTGCCAAAGAGATCGGGGACAACAAGAAGCCCCAATTGTCATACCCAGCACGCCCCAAACTGTACAAGCAAGAGGGCAGGTTAAAAACAAGTGGTTCGCAGTCTCTATATTTGTACAAAAGGAACACATAGGATTTCCAGGCCACTTCCTATTGCGCATATTGTCTCGTGTAAGTATAGCATTCTGAAATAACTGCCATAAGAAGATTTTAATCTTCAATGGAACAGGGGCTTTCCAAACCCAATTATAATTGGGGCCAGCCAGGTTTCTTTCTAACCATTCATACATCGATTTAGTCGTAAATTTCCCTCTACTACTAAAGCCCAGGAAATAGTATCTGAAGAATTATTCAGCGATAGCTTTTTAGCCTCCATGATCATCCAAGCCCACTGCTCGCCCAACACACCTGTCAAATTGCGTCTGAAGTCTAGATCATAGCCATTCATTACCCAGGATGCCAGAGTACTCCCCTGATCATGGCAAATATTGAACAGATCAGGGAACCGATCTTTCAAAATGGTGCTCTCTATCCAGGGATCATGCCAGGCCCTAGTCAGGTTACCACTATTGATGATGATTTTCCTACCAGCCATATATGAATCCTTGAATTTCATGATAGCTTTCCAGCAAGGGGAATCAGAGAAACGACCTCGTATATTGGCTACTGTCTTGTTATTAAAGTATCTAGCTTTGACTATACGCTGCCATAATCCATCGCTTGTTTCGAGTTTCCACCACCATTTAACGAGTAGGGCAACATTCTGTTTATGAAGATCCTTAATACCCAACCCCCCAATTTTCTTCGATCTACAGATTCTTGCCCATTTAACCATATGATATCCATGTTTCTTGTTCTTCCTCCTCCAAAAGAATCGTCTACGATGTTTGTCCATCTTTTCAATAAAGGTTTTATTGAAAAGGAACATCGACATGAGATAAGATAGAACCCCATCAAGACTGGAACCCAATGAAGTGAGTCTAGACCCGGAAGAAGCCGCATAGGCCACCCAGGCATCAAGCTTTTTAATCATTTTACCATCAAGGAAATCTAAATCCGCATTTTTGAGAGCGGAGTATGTTACTGGGACCCCCAAGGTATTTCATAGGTAAGGTGCCCACTTGGCAACCAAACATATCAGCGTAAACCAAATCAATGTCATTATCTCCTCCGATACTAAAGATCTCGCTTTTCTCAAAATTGATTTTTAACCCTGACATGAGTTCAAAAAGATAGAGCAAGAGCTTAACATTGATGGCTTTGTCGATATCTTGTTCAAAACAAAGCACCGTGTCGTCAGCGTACTGTAGGATGCCCACCCCATCCTCGATAAGATCAGCAGCTAACCCTTTAATAAGACCGTTCTTTTGAGCTGTCAATACCATCTTAGTCAAGCATTCAGCCGCAAGATTAAAAAGAAAAGGGGAGTGAGGATCGCCCTACCTCACCCCCTTAGCACTTTGGATGTAAGGCCCTACCTCATCATTGATCTTAACGCTAACCGTGCCATTCATAAGAATCTGAGAAACCCACCCACACCATTTGGAGTTAAACCCACGTTTCACATGACAATCGAGTAAAAACTCCCAATTAACTTTGTCATAAGCTTTCTCGAAATCAAGCTTAAGTATTATCCCCACTTGTTTCTTGATATGAGTATAGTGCAAAATCTCATGTAAGGATAATATGCCATCAACTATATGTCTC